GCCTCGAACTCCTGAGCTCTGGTAAACTGCCAACCTCAGCCTCCCAAAGTGCTGGGATTACAGGCGAAAGCCACCGCACCTGGCCCAGAGTCCCCACTTTCAATCATATTTGGAGGAATGGAACTTGTAGGAAGGATTTTGTCTATTCTGCTGCACTCCAGACAGTAGAACCAGGCTCAACAGGCCCAAGGAGAGGGATTCTGCCCAATATAATAAAATAATGGCCCAGCCTCGAAAAAAGCCCCTATGCAATAGCATGAAACTTTCCGATGGTGTGAGAGAGGAGAAAGGAAGAAGCTGGTCAGGCAGGCCCAGTTAGGGTGGGTCCTTAGTTGAATTCTTTCAAGCAAAAGAACAGCCTGCAGGCACAGATAAGGAAACTTGCACATGGCGACTTGCCTAAGACATCCCCACAGCCACACAGATAAGAAAAGCTACACAGATGACTTGCCCAGACATGTCCGCAGTGGAAAATTCTGTCCCCTGACACATGTGCAGAAAGGGGAACAAAGCAATACGCAGTAACTCAAGCTAAGGGTTCACATGTGCACTAGGAGGACAGGGTGGAGCTACCAGAAATTCATGCCTTATGCAAATGAGACACCCAGGCCTCATCCATTTCTTATAAAAGCCTTTGCATTCGGCTGTATAAACAGCAACCCTCTTCCAGGCCCCCTCTCTGCACAGGAGAGCTTTCTTCTTTTGCTTGTTAAACTTTTGCCCCAACCTCATCCTTTGTGTCCATGATCCTTACTTTTCTTAGTCGTGAGACAAAAAACTCCAGGTGATACCTCATGAGAGACTGCTACAACCACTATTTTGTGGTGCATTGGCAAGACTGTAACATAAGGATAGGAGAAAGGCTTGAACCACCGAGGGGAGATGTTGCCAAGATATTCAAGCAGCTGATGGAGGATGGGGCTGGGCCAGTGTTTCTCAGGTTCCTCGGAGGGTTCAGAATGGTGGGGGGATGTGGTGTTAAACTACACTAAGTTGTGTCATAGGGAACAATTCTCCCTCTAATTCCTTTCCAACCCTTCAGATGACTTCCAAAAGAAAACATCAGTTTTGTGCAAGCCTGTCTTTAACATTGCTCTAACTCTTGCTGATAATACTTCCTAATACTTCCTGTTTCAAAAAGAAAAAAGCTCACGATATCCAGCTAGAGTTTGATGGCATTATTTTTCTTTTATGCTCACATGTGCACACATGCACACACACACATGCACATATATATTTCTTCTATTTTGGAGAGTTTCACTGGCTTTCCACTCCCAGTTTTGACCTAAAGTTCCCCTTTTACATTCATTTTTGTAAGAAGACTGTGAGCCAATAAAAAAAAAATCATAGTAGGAGATGAATATGTGGCTAGAAATAAATTAACAAAGGTGATATGAAAATAGTCAAAGTCTGGAAACACCGAGATAAAAGAATTATCTGCTTCTAGGCCCACTCCAGTCTCAGAGGTCACAGGGCCACCACATTGCACATAATGGAGCGCCACTCACGTTGTGGTTTATAGCAACAACATTCCCTGAATCGTGCAGTGCACAGCCTGTGCAGCTGTACACAGCTGCCATGGATATTTTTAGAGTTACAAATATCCCAAACATACGAGGGAAGAGAGATAATCTTCTGGCTGGCTGCCCTGAAATTGGCAGCCAAAGTTTCTCACTCCAAATTATGTTATTTTCTGTTCATGATCCGCCTACAGCATCCCCAAGCTCAGGGGCCCACCAGGCATCCTAGGCAGCACTGGGTCTCAACCCAACCTCGAGAAGAACAGGAGAAACAGGCCCAGGGCTCTCCTCGGGGGAGACTCATGAACATCATCCCAGCAAGGCTGCAAAAAGATGAACTGCACGTTCAAGTGTAAAGGCAGCAGGCAGACATTCTCGGACATGAACGCCCTCGGAGAACATGGTATCCATGAGCCATTCTCGAAAAAACTAGCTGACATTGAAATACAGCTCACCAAGGAAGAATCAAAATAAGCCCAAGAATGGAGAAGTCATAATAAAACCCCACGGTGGGTGAAGAATCTATGTAAATACGTAACCAAATGAAACAATTGGAGATATTGTAGTTGGAACACCTCGATGCTGTACAAATCATATAAGCACCAAAAATCAGGAAGTCAGAGGCAGGAAGAACTGTAGTCACCACGTATTTCTTAGAAGAAATCTACCAGAAAGATCTTGCTTAAAGACCGCAGGGACACACTTCTATCCCCCTCCCCTGCAAAACCACGAAGTTAATTATCTCCCCCAAGGTTAAAAGGGCCAGGCAGAAGAGAATGGAGAGTGGAATTCAGGTCTGCCACGTGAACACAAAGTGGGCCTCACTTGTCGTGAGGGACACCAGTCCCAGTGGCTCTTGAACTCCTGGCCTCAAGCAGTTCTCCTACCTCAGCCCTCCCAAGTAGCTAGGATTACAGGCGTGCACCACCGCACCTGGCTCCAGTAGGCTCTCAAACCCAGGGCCATTGACGAAGGACCTCTCATGTCTTAAGAAGTTCCTGTACTGATTAAAACACACACACACACAGAGCCAGGCACAGTGGCTCACACCTGTAATCCTAGCACTGTGGGAGGCCAAGGTGGGAGGATTGCTTGAGCCCAGGAGTTTGAGACCAGCGTGCGTCGGCAACATAGTGAGACTCCATATCTAAAAAAAGAAAAAACAACTTTTTTTAAAGTAAAAACACACACAAGAAAATCAACCTACACTCACCCATACACCCAGTCCTAAACAGCACCGTTTCTCTCTCTCTCTGTCACTCACACTCATTTCTCTCTAGGTCCACTGCCTCAGCCTCTCCTCTGGCCTCCTGGCCTCCATACCATCAGCCACAGGAATACTTGTAGAACCCATATCTGAATTCTGCTCAGAAACCTCAATTGCCTTTAGCTCTCACCAGAATTGTGCCCTCAGACATTTATGAAAAATTTGGACTCCTAAAAATGCATATTCTCTGTGACCCAATAATTCCATTTCTTGGAACTCATCTTACACGTGTGCAAAATTACACAAGGTCAAGATCATTCATTGCAACCTTATTTTAATAGGAAAGGACTGGAAATAACCTAAATTTCCATTAATTAAATAAGAAACATACATTCAACTTATGGAAGGATCATAACCATTAAAATGAACAAGGCTACTCTCTCTCTCAGAATATAATTATTAATTAGTATTCACACAGAATATTAATAGTATATGGAAAAGTGGGGACCTCACTGAAGTTTCAGACCCACTGGTCAACCAGAATGAGTCTACACATCTCTGCCTGGCCCTTTTGTCTAGTGTGGTCTCTTGATACTCTCCATCAGATGCTCTATTCATTTTCCATTGCTGCTGTAACAAATTAACGCAAACAAAACATAATGGCTAAAACAATACAAAATTTCTATCTTATAAATCTTTTTCCTTTTTCCTTTTCTTTTTTATTTTTTAGACAGTGTCTCACTGTGCAGTGGCTCGATCTTGGCTCACTGCAGCCTCTGCCTCCCAGGCTTAATTGATTCTCCTGCCTCAGCCTCCTGATTAGCTGGGATTACAGGCATGTGCCACCATGCCCGGCTGATTTTTGTATTTTTTAGTACAGACGGGCTTCACCATGTTGACCAGGCTGTTCTCAAACTCCTGACTTCAGGTGATCCACCCACCTCGGCCTCCCAAAGTGCTGGGATTCCAGGTGTGAGCCACCACGCCTGGCCTTGTCTTGTAATTCTATAGGTCAGGAGTCCACCATGATTCTCACTAGGCTAAAATCAAGGTGTAGGCCCAGCCACATCCCCGAGAGGAGGCTCCAGGGAAGACAGCATGTCCTTGCCTCTTCCACCTTCTCCTGGATGCCCACATGCCTTGATTCGTGGTTCCCTATGTTCGAAACCAGCCATGTCAAATCTCCCTTCTTTCATAGACACACCTCTCCCTCTGCCTACAGCTGGGAAGTGTTCTCCCCACCCCCTTTTTTTTTTTTTTTGAGACAGAGTCTCGCTCTGTCGCTCAGACTGGAGTGCAGTGGTGCAATCTCAGCTCACTGCAACCTCTGCCCCCTGGGTTCAAGCAATTCTCCTGTCTCAGTCTTCCAAGTAGCTGGGATTACAGGCACCCACTACCATGGTTCTCCACTTTCAAGGACTCACAGAATGAGGTCAGGCCCATTTGGATACTCCAGGATAACCTCCCACCTCAAAATCCTTAATGTAGTAATCACATCTGAGAAAGTCCCTTTGCACCACGTAAACTAACACAGTCACGGGTTGGGTTACAAAGTTTGTGATGTGGACATCTTTGCTTGTTTTCTATTGTTGATTTTATTTATTTATTTATTTATTTATTTTTTTTTTTTTGTTGATTTTATTTATTTTTATTGTTATTATTTATATTTTTTATTTCAATGCTTTAGGGGTACAAGTGGTTTTTGGTTACATGGATGAATTGTGTAGTGGTAAAGCCTCAGATTTCAGTGCCCCCATTACCCAAGCAGTGTCCTTCATACCCAATATGTAGTTTTTCATCCCTCACTTCCTCCCACCCTCCCCACTTCTTTTTTTTTTTTTTTTTTTTTTTTTTTGTGAGATAGAGTCTCACTCTGCTGCCCAGGCTGGAGTGCAGTGGCGCAATCTTGGCTCACTGTAACCTCCACCTCCCAGCTTCAAGCAATTCTCCTGACTCGGCCTCCCAAGTAGCTGAGATTACAGGCACGCGCCACCACTCTTGACTTTTTGTATTTTTAGTAGAGATGGGGTTTCACCATGTTAGCCTGGCTGGTTTTGAACTCCTGACCTCAAGTTATCCACCCACCGCGGCCTCCCAAAGTGCTGGGATTATAGGTGTGAGCCATCGTGCCTGGCCCCTCCCCACTTCTGAGTCTCCCATGTCCACGTACCACTCTACGTGCCTTTGCATACCTATAACTTAGCTCCCATTTATAAGTAAGAACATACAGAGTCTGGTTTTCTATTCCGGAGTTACTTCACTTAGAATAATGGAAAAATATGGAATGCTTCATGAATTTGTGTGTTATCCTTGCGCAGAGGCCATGCTCTCTCTGTATCACTCCAATTTTAGTGTATGTGCTGCCAGAGCAAGCACTGATGTGGACATCTTTGGAGTGTACGACACTATTCCACCTAGCACAGATACCCTATATCCCCAGCTACCAAAGCATTTGCCACATCTCATCAAACACAAGACCTCGCCAGGCCCGGTAGCTCCTACCTGTAATCCCAGCATTTTGGGAGGTCAAGGCAGGAGGATTGCTTGATGCCAGGAGCTCAAGGTCAGCCTGGGCAACAGAGTAAGATCTCATCTCTACAAAAATTAAAAAATTAGCTGGGCATGGTGGCATGAACCTGTAGTCCCAGCTACTCCGGAGACTGAGGCAGGAGGATCATTTGAGCCCAGTTCAAGATTGCAACAAGCTGTGATCGTGCCACTGCCCTACAGCCTGAGCAACAGAGTGAAACCTTGTTTCAAAAAAATAAATCAATAAATAATTTTTTTTAAAAACCCCAAGACTATGGACCAGTGCCTCCACCTGAAATGCTTTCTCATCTGCCCAAATGCTACTCAGACATTCAAGGCTGAACTCAAAAGCCCCTTCCTCCATGAAGCCCTCTCTAATTTCCCCCAAACAGAGTTAATGACACAGTCAGCACTTTCAAAAAGTCCCTCTATATGACACGTGTTACTAGGCATTTGAATTACATGTTTACTTGTACATTTCTCAGTGTCCTGCAAGCAATTTAAGAATGAAAACGGACATATTCAACTACATGTCCCCACCATTCATCACAATGCCTGGAGCATAATAGGGTTTAATATTTAATAATCAATGATTGGGTCAGGCGTGGTGGCTCACACCTGTAAACCTAGCACTTTGGGAGGCCAAGGCGGGCAGATCACTTGAGGGCAGGAATTCAAGACCAGCCTGGCCAACATGGTGAAACCCCATATCTACTAAAAATACAAAAATCAGTTGTGTGTGGTGGTGCATGACTGTAATGCCAGCTACTCAGGAAGCTGAGGCACGAGAATCACTGGAACCTGGAAGGCTTCAAGGGTTGCAGTGAGCTGAGATCGCACCACTGCACTCCAGCCTGGGCAACAGAGCAAGACTCTGTCTCAGAACAAAAATAGCAATAATAATAATGACAATCACTGATGGAATGAATGACCAAATTCTTTCTATTTTACCATGGAGTGCACTATTTCATACATAATCCAAAATATGATTTTATGCATCTGTTGTTATTCCACATGCCTGGCCCATCACGTGAACTCTATAAATATTTGCCACATAAATAAATTAATACTCATACCTAATATTTATTGAACATTTTCTATATGCCAGGCACTTAGCTAAGTTCTTATAAGCTCTGCCTCCCTAACCTAATTCTTCATGATACCTCTCAAGGGAGTACTACTGTATTCGTTTGGGTAGTTAATACTAGCTGCTGTTACAAACACCTCAAAATCTTAAAGGTTCTTTCTTAGCTGCTTCTCCTGAATGACATATATCCATGCAGTGACTCAGGGATCCAGGCTCCCTCTATGGTGTAGCTGCACCACAGATGAGGGAGAGAAAGTAGAGGGAGGACACACAGTATATTTGCCCACCTCAGTCCATCACTTCCACTCATATCCCTTTGGCCAGACTAGTCACATGGACATTCCAAGTGCAAAGGATGCTGGGAAATGCAGAGGAACTCAAGGCTACTGATAAGCATGGAGTTACAGCTGCAATCATCATCTTCCTCATTGTACAGTGGAAGAAGCAGAGGTTCAGAGGAATGGAGACACTGCCCAAGTCCTTTTACTACTGTGTGTAGGAGACAAGTTCAACCTCAGATCTGTCTGTCTGTATAGACCCAGCCCTTAACCATTACTTGCTCACATCTGACATTCTGTGTGCTCAAAAGTTAGGCCACAGTGGGGCGCAATGGCTCACGCCTATAATTCCAGCACTTTGGGAGGCCAAGGTGGGAGGATCACTTGAGCCCAGGATTCTGAGACCAGCCTGCACAACATAGTGAGACCTCGTCTCTACCAAATAATTCTAAAAATAATAAAAATAAAAATGAAAAGTCCACCTCAGAGAGTGAAGCCGAGGACCTTGCTGCATGGCGGGAAGGACTCCACCCTGGGATGGGACATTTCCTCTGGACAATCCCCCAGCAGATAATCCACAAAGAGCTAATCGGGAATTGGCTGGGTCTTGCATTTTGCTATTTGCTTAGTCCTGCCAGAATTCGTTTATTCATAAGCGTCTAAACGATGACATGAGGCAGATGTTACGTGCTGATTTTGCCCTCCGGACTGGTGCAAGAGGGGAAACGAAATCTACTCTTTTAAGCGAACACCAGATGAAGCTTGAACAAAACGAATACCTCTTGCCGGACAAGCAGCTCTCTAAGCTTCCCACAGACGCTCTCAGAGTGTCATTTCTGGGGTTTATTTGGCAGTTGTTTACTGTCAGGAAAGAAATATTGCTCCTTCTTGGCTACATCTCTCCTATCCTCCTCCTACAAACCATCCCCCAACAGTGTTAGCCATTTGCCCTTGTAGTTTAGAATTGTAATAAAGAATTTCCCCTTGACCCCCTGTTGCTTTGTCCGGAATCAATCCAGAGTCAACGCCCTCTTTCCAAACCCCACCATTCTTCTCGCCTGTTCCTCATCTTCCAGCGTCAGCATTCCACGCTGAGACAATTGCAATTACAAGTCAATTCTCAATTATTCAGGGCTGATTATTCACGGAGTGGATTGCTCAGGCTTTCTGCTTCCCCCTCCCTCTGTGGGCTTTGTTCTACTCATTAGCACCTCCCCCAGCAGACAAGAAAGGAAAAGAAAAGTTTGCTGAACTCCCATCCCTCAAAACCAGTGGCTGGTTAGCCACTTCCGTTTGGCCAGGGAGGCGACTGGGATCCTGGACTTTATCTGTCCATGCTGCCTCTTCCCCAATTCACATAGCTAGTGCAGAATTGCCATCATTTTTCCAGGAAGGGGAGGAGAGGTACAGCCAACGCCAGCCCGGGTCTTTCATCCCCAGGGCTGCTCCCACCAGCCTGTGACGTCTGTGTGCTTGACAACAGCGTGTGCCCACGTGGAAGTGTGTGCGTGAGGGTGCACGAGACACCCGGTGTTGTCAGCTACAGCGTACAGCTTGATGGCAGGGGCTGTCTCTTTACAGCAAGAAATATGTCAAGGGACCATTGTGTGATGGCATATCTAATAAATACAATGAATTTTCAAAAACAAATCAGAGAGAGGCAGACGAAAGGCAATTCACTCGCACGTGAAATTGTCTCCTCCACCAGCTTACCCAAAACGGGGCTTGTTTTTAGACCAGAGGCCCTCCCCCAGGTCAAAGCCTCTGATCTTGGGGGATGCGAACCATTGTCCCTTACTGAAGGGCAGCAGGACAAACGAGCTCCCCCTGGAAAGATCATTTTGGGGCCCTCGAGAGGAAGAACAGACACTGGCCCAGTGGACAGAGTATGTATCAGCCCAGAAGGGGGCCCAAGGTTGGCCCAGGCAGAACTGAGTCACCTCTGCTACAATCACCACTTCCTGCAGCCTGGCAGCCTGGTCTCCACCCGCTGCTGGGCAACCTTCAGAACTATCATCTACAAGGGCAGAGCAGCCTATGTATAGGCAAGAGTGGGGTTCCTGTGCGGGGAGAATGAGATAGGTCCTTCAACTCTCTCCCAGCAAACCCGGCCAAACTCCTGGCACTCTAACTCTGGGCCATCTTGCCTCATTTTTGCATTCAATCAACAAATACTCATTAAGCACCTACTACGTGCCAGGCTGTGTTGGAAGCACTGAGGATTCAGTGGTGCGCAAGACGTGATGTTTTCACTCCAGCAGGGAAACAGATGTAAACAAGTCAACAAATAAACAAACAACAGATGGTGATATGTGCCCTGAATAAAATAAAATGGGATGCTGTGATAGAATAACAGGGTGAGCGAGGCTTCTCTGATGGGCTGATCAGGGCCTTTTCTCCAGGAGAGAACATTCCAGCTCAAACCTGATGAGGACAAGCCGGCCATGTAAAAGATCCAGCGGGTGGCCGGGCACCAGCACTGTGGGAACCAACGCGGGAGGATCGCTTGAGCCCAGGAGTTCGAGACTAGCCTGGGCAACATGGCAAGATCCCATCTCTACAAAAATTTTAAAAATTAGCCAAGCATCGTGACATATGCCTGTAGTCCCAGCTACTCAAGAGGCTAAGGCAGGGGGATCGCTTGAGCCCAGGAGGTGGGGACTGGAGTGAGCTGTATTTGCAGTGTACCACTGCACTGTAGCCTGTGACAGAGGAAGATCATGTCTCAAAACAAATTAAAAAGAAAAAAAGAAGCCGGGTGCAGTGGCTCATGCCTGTAATCCCAGCACTTTGGGAGGCTGAGGCGGGCAGATCACAAGGTCAGGAGATTGAGACCATCCTGGCTAACACGGTGAAACTCCGTCTCTACTAAAAATACCAAAAAAATAAAATAAAATAAAATAATAAAATAAAATAAATATTAGCCGGGAGTGTAGTCCCAGCTACTCAGGAGGCTGAGGCAGGAGAATGGCGTGAACCCGGGAGGCAGAGCTTGCAGTGAGCCGAGATTGCGCCACTGCACTCCAGCCTGGACGACAGAGTGAGATTTCATCTCAAAAAAAAAAAAAAGAAAAAGAAAAAAAGATCCAGGGGGAGAGCATCTCAGGCAAAAGGCACAACAAGTCCAAAGGCCCTGGGGCAGAATGAGCTTGGAGTGCTGGAGAAACAGCAAAGAGGCTGTTGTGAGGGAGTCCTGGGGCAATGGGAGAGGCCGGGGCCGGGTTGCTCAGCCTCGTGCTGGGGCAGCCTTAAGGAGAAATGCTGCCGCTCTGGGAAGCCACTGAGGGCATCAAGCAGACGAGCACTGTGATCTGATTTGCATTCTTAAAAGTGCTATCTGGAGGCTGGGTGGCTGCAAAAGACAGAACCCACTCACAGGAGCTTGAGCACGGATGCTTGTTAACACAGAAGGATACACCGGCATCCCGCTGAACCCAGCAGCAGGGACTGCAGGAGAGGGCAGCTATGGGAACTGAGCAACC